CGACGGCACATAACAACAACAACAACAGTTTATTTACAAAATTTGAATACATTCTTTTTCAGACCAGATTCTTTCAATTCCCCGCCCCCCATCAAATTGTAGAGGCCCATGATTAATCCCTTGCCCCTACCCACATATCCTCATCCCTCTGCTTCCCCCCCCCCCCCCCCGCCCAAGATCCGCAAACACATTTCTACAGTAATGATTTTATTGATTTTATACAATATTTGTCCTTCTGGGACTGAGTCAGTTCACTCAGCATAATGCTCTCCAGTCATCAGGCTGTTTTTAGTTTCAGAATATCTGCTGCTTTTTGTTAATCATGTTCTAAATCTCACAGAACTACCTTGAGGTACTTAGATTCCTGGTATCAATGAAAAATAATTAACAGAGAAATTCCTTTCCCTCATGTGACAAGCTTAGGAATTTCTTATCTTCTTCAGAAGCCTAGCATTTAATTACTACTAAGAAAGATTACCATTCAAAAGAAGATTGGTAGATTTGTGGTGGTGGGTTTTAAACTCTGGCCAATTTTCATTTTTTAAAAAAAATAAACTTAAGTTTTTAAAATCCCTTGTTTCCACTTACTGTATGTACCTTTTATGTGTATTAAAAATATACAAAATGTGAAACTTGAAGTGAAATATGTTTGTTCCCTTACTTAGTACATAGTGCTTTATAAGGTTTTGTCATTAACAGTGTTAATACAGATTAACATTTAATAGCTAAAAGATTTAGTGGTCTTAAGTGATTTAACACAATTTTTTAAAGATGTGTTAAGATTGTTGCAATAAAGGAGTGCCATTGTATTAGCAGAGGATAAATTGCATAGAATTTATAAGTGGCTATCCCCAAGTAATAAAAGTTCAAGTAACTTAAACAGGAACTTAATGAACTATAAACTAACAAGTATTTATTGAATGTTGTTGTTAGGTGCTGACGAATTGAAACCAACTCATAGCTGACACCCTCCAATGGGGTTCCAGAGGCAGTAAATTGCATGGGAGGAGATTGCTCTTCTCTCTCCCATGGAGCAGCTAGTGGACTTGAACCTCTTGCTATTGGATTGGAAGTACAACTCCTTACCCATTAGGCCATCAGAGCTCCCTATTGAATATATGAGGATAAACTTATAAAATGCATTTTTCATGTTGACTAAAAGAGAACAAGAGCTTTCCACCCAGTGGATCCTAGTTTCCTTGTGATAAGGAGTTGCATTGCAAACCAAAGGTACACATCTCAAATATGTGTAGGCTCTGACCCAGTGGCAATGAGTTTGAGTTGGAGTTTTTGACCTGCTGTGATGGGGCAGTGGCTATATCTTTAAAAGTTAGGAAACCTCAGCGCTATAACCCAAACCTGTCTTCCAGGTTTGGGAGTTGTCCTGTCCTTTTGAGGTATGAACTGATGGGAGAGGGCTCTGTCTCCCAGGCACGGGGAAATTGAACTGTGCCTCTAGTAACCATCTGCGTATCATAGGGACAGGGAGAATGTTGTGATTATTTAGATAAACATGATCAGCTTAAACAGATACTACCTCAGTTACAGAGTGAGCCTGAAAAGGGGTCTGTTGAAGGCAGGAATCAACTCTTCTCACCATGAAAGTAAAAGATCACAGCTGTTCAGCTGTGTAAGTAGGGGGAGACTTGGGTTAGTGTAATCTCTTTTTCACAAATTACCTAAAATATTGTACGCTGGATGTGCTCAGACAGTGATAAAACCACGTTCTTTCCACCAAGTTGTGGAGAGGACTCTGTTGGTAAGATTTTTCTCATTGGCCCCACAAACCCCAGAGTCTGGTTGTGAGGGGACATGGGCCGTTTGACCCTGGCCCCTACAGGATTCACTGCTCAAAATGTGCTCACAGGCAGCTTTGCTCACAGGGCCCTGGGCACCGTCGGGAAAGGACAGCACAGAGACAGTGAAGAGATTCTATGCAGGAGAGGAGCTCAGCTAGCGCTGGAAGGATGTAGTTGTTTGGTACCATCCGTTTACCTATGCCTTATAGCGACCCAGCAAACAGACAGTCTGAACCTTGCCTTCAAGGGCACCGTCCTCAGTCTCTGCCAAGCGTAAGCCCTGTGGTTGTGGTAGTCACTTGGAAGGAAAGGGAAAGAGCTTTTTAACCAGCAGTGAGGAGGTGAAAGGTCTCTGCAGAAAGTTGGAGCAAGGGTAAAGACTGTGACTGCCTCCCTGAGGCATCTTGTTTCTCACATTCCCCTTGGTTCAGGAGAAACCTCAAGGCGTGAAAGATAGTGTGTTTGAAGGAAAGATGGCATATCTGGGCTTTATCCTGGAGCTGAGGAGCTCTGTTTATGACACTCCAACCCACCCTTCTAGTGTGTTTTCCACCAAGAAGAATACATTTCGATGTTTTAATAAGATGACTCCAGACCGATGGCTGATTTGCTTTTGTCTTTCCCTGTAGCTGCTGGGCGAGCTGATCCTGGATCGACACAACTTTGCCGTCATGACCAAGTACATCAGCAAGCCCGAGAACTTGAAGCTGATGATGAACCTGCTCCGAGATAAAAGCCCCAACATTCAGTTTGAGGCTTTTCATGTCTTTAAGGTAAAGTGGGAGCTAGAGAAATAATATCTGTGTCATTTCCCCCAAGTTTCAAAATTATAAACGTCCTACTTTGTCCTCAGGCCTTTGGTTTACATCTGAGAAAAAATAAATATTATCTGGTTTTGTGTGGGTTAGTTGAAATTTTAGGCATTCACTTAAAGAATATCCCTCTGATTCTAAAGAGTTTTGTAACTAATCCACATGTCTAAATCCTTTCCTTTTCCTTACTGAGAAAACAGTTGGTAAAATTTATTTACTGAAATATCAGTGATTGACCTAGAACCCCAAACCTCCATTTGTCACATCCCAAATCCTTTGCTTTTCTAGAGTTGACCTCTTGGAATCTTAAAGAAAATATTTTTCTATTTTGACTATTTGTTTGCAAAGATACATTTTAAAAATACATTTTGCTGTCATGGAATGCTAGTCCTTTTCCTCCTAGTATTTTTCTTAGTTTTAAGAGTAACAAAATCATCTTCTGGAAACTTGAAAAAAGAAAACCAAAGGGGAATGAATATAATCAGCCTCCTAGTCAAACTGTTGTAAATGTTCTTTTCTGGTAAAAAACAAACAAACAAACAAAAAACCCAACCAGCAAACAAAAAAACCTCTGCTAGCTCTGAAAATGATCTAACACAACGGGAATGTTGACTTCTGGTGCAGCATTCCATGATTGAAATCAGGGTAGTCATAGCACAGGGTGACACTGCGGTGGGATAACCCTTAATCAGGAGCATTCAAAACAAAACTCACTGACTCCTCGCTGACCCTCCAGCAGGTTTTTTTGATTGCATGGGGGACACAATAGATTGCCAGAGCTGTAGTTACAAGGAACAGACAAGGTTTATCCTTCATTACAGAATGCTATACTGGAAGTACATTCCTATTGCTGTTATGTCATTTTCAGAACTGTTGTTGTTGTTGTTCTGTACCATCGAGTTAGAAATGACCTGTAGCTGCCGCTCCCACTGGGTTTCAGAGGCAGAATGTCTCACAGGATGAGATTGCCCACCTTTCTCCTGCAGAACAGCTGGTGGGTTCAAACCATGTGCCTTCATGTTGGCAGTGCAGCTTCTCACCATTAGGCCACCAGAGCTCCAAGTGGGTAATTTTTGTTGGCTTGATTTTTCCCTCTATTGTTAATAAAAATACACACAAGGGGAGCTCTGGTGGCCTCATGGCAAGAAGCTTAACTGTAATCCCAGAGGTACGCACTTTGAATCCACTAGATGCTCTGCTGGAGAAGGAGGGGCAATCTCCTGTACCAGTCAGATCCAATTTGATGGTACACACACATAAAATAATTAAAAAAAAACATATATATATATATATCTCCAGAAAAATGTATACCGGTTTGGTTCCCTCCCATTGTTACTAAAAATATACCCAACAAAATGTGCACCAGTTCAACAGTTTGTACATGTGCAACACAGTGACCTTGGTGGTAGCATTTACCTGGCTCTGTCTTTCTCATCTTCCTTTTACAATTGTTCCTTAATTGTTGACATAAATTCACTTCCCCAAGCTTCTGATCTACCCTTTCAAGGTGCTTTTGTTAAATGAATCCCATGTAGAAAATTCTTCAGAAGAGCGTGGTGGAGAGCCAGCAGTTTTATTGGCATAGTAGTTTTTCACTGGATCTCTTTGCTTTGGTTTATTGTTACTAATCCGGTGTCACTGATAAGTACTTAGGCCATTTGCATCTGACCCACTATACATAATACAACAGGGAGTGTTTATGCATCCCACTGGCTTTTTCCATATTGAGGATTATTTCCTTAGGACAGGTCTTTAGAGTCGAATTAAGAATTCAAAGAGCTCCAGGTTTTTATAACTTATAGGAAGGATTTTAAAATTTATAAGTGGACGATGTTTCAGCTGGTCAGGAATGTGATCCTTGCATTGAGAAGTAAAAAGTAAATACACTGTTGGTATAATTGACCACTTGTTTACTTGTATGTGTATATATTTGGCCTACTCTGTACCTGAACTCTGAAGGCTTAGTGGTAGGGAATTGTACTACCAACCCAAAGGCATGCAGTTCAAATCCAGCAGCTGCTCTGCAAGACAAAGATGGGCACGCCCCTCCTGTGTGATTTATAGCCTCTGAAAACCCACTGGAGGATCATCTTGGTTCTGACTTACAGCACCTCACAACAATGCTGTACTTTAAAAAAACTTTATCTTATTATTTGGGCTCTATGAGGAGAATTGTGGCATCAGGATTGGTGGAAGATCTATTAACAATCTGCATTATGCAGATGACACAACCCTGCTTGCTGAAACTGAGGAGGACCTCATGCACTTGCTGCAGAGGGTCAAGGGCTGCAGCCTTCAGTATGTTTACTTGACATAAATAAGATTTTGTTCTTTGGAAATGACCAACAACTGAGTTCTAGAATTCTTCACAGTTCTTTGTTAATACTTTTCCCCCCCTCAAAGAACTGTCCACAAGGTATAGAAAGCACAGAAAGAAATGACTGAAAATGTCTGGAATTTTTTTTCAGACTGCTTTTGGTTCCTTTTTAGCTTGTTGACAAGCTCATGTATTCAGTGAGGTGATTTTTTTTTATACTTTCTTCCCTTGATAGTCATGGTGTTGGGGAAAGTTCTAGATGTGAAGTTCACAGACCTCGGTCTTTGAGGCATAATTGTCAGCAGCAAGTTGGAGAAATACATCTTGTCTATTTCCTCACTGGCAAAATTGAAGCCTGAATTCTAGTTGAAAGATCCTCGGCTCACAAGCCCCCTCCTTGTGAACATGGTGCCCCTAGAGACGTGCCCAGTATGAACTCTAATCGCTGTGAGCCGATGCTCTCCGATTCTCACTGTTAACTCTGTGAATAGCAAAGAACACGCTGCTTCTACTCCTCAGACTGTGTGAGGGCTAGCCTGTGCCAGGCGGGTCATCACACTGCTGGGGGTGGGGGTGGCCAGTGCCCGAAATGGCCCTCAACTTTGTCACTCAAGATGCTTGCAGGTGACAGCAGTCTCTGTGACCATGAAAACAAGAAGCTCTGCTCAAGTTATTCTAAAATACAAATACCAGCTTGACAACTCAGCTAAAACACTAACAGAACAAAAGATACTTCTTTGTTGTTGTTAGATGCCATCGGGTCGAGTATGACTCATAGTGACCCTGTCTGAACCCCATGCCATCTTCACCATCTCTGACCCACTCAAGCCCAGTGTGTCAGTCCACCAGTTGAGGGTCTTCCTCTCCTTCACTGACCCGCCACCTTCCCAAACATGATGTCCCTCTTAAAGGAATAACCCCTCCTAGCAACAAGCCCCAAGTATGCAAGACGGAGCTTCATCCTCTTTGCCTCCAAGGCTGCACTTTCTCCAAGACGTAACTGTTCTTTTGGCCATCCACTCAGCACTCTTCTCCAGCACCTCAGCTCAAAGGCATCACCTCCTCTTCTGTCATCCTTAGTCATTGTCCAGCTCTCAGATGCATAGCAAGTGACTGAATAGACCGTGGCTTGAAAGAGATACTAGGTGACAGCAATTTCCATATGATCTCTAAGAGAATACATAATTACAGATTAAGCTAGTTAACATTAAAATAACTTGCCTACTTTCTTAAGAACCCACTTTCTATAGGCCAGCTTCTCCAATGACAGTTTACCAAGTGGTACTCTGCTGTTGCAGAAAGATTAAGAGTGAGTGAATTTAGGAAGCAGCTTGAAGTACAGCCAGGGCTATGTGTAGAGGTAAGAGTGTTGAGAGTATCGCGTGTACTTTTGGCATATTATTAGGAGGGGCCTGTCCAGTGAAGGAGAAGAGACGACCCTCAAGGGGATTCACGGAGTCAGTGGCTACCACGGCTTGAGCCTGCCTCAGAGTGATAGGCAACCACAGCAGCGGCAGGGTTTCCATCCGTGGTGTGGACACAGGGTCGCTGTGCAGCGACTCGATGGGACCCACCAGCAGGAACTGATGTTCTCTCCTTTCCTTCCCGGTTGGCCTCCTCAATTTTTTTCCCCAAAAGTTTTTAAAGTGGATCAACTGCCAAGTTGCGATTTTGTCAGCTTGTAATTAACTTTGTTTTCACTACATCCTTATGGCTTTTATTAACAGATGCAGAGAAAAAGTGAATGAGCATCATTGAGAACTCAAGTCTCCTTCCTGTTGTTGTTGTTATGTACTGTCGAGTCGCTTGCAACTCTATGTACAACATCTCTGAACCCTGCTCTATCCTGAGCTAACCTTATTGTCTCTATCACACCTACTCCATTACCCCGGTCACTGAGTCAATCCATCTCATCGAGGGTCTTCCTCTCCTGCTCTGTCTCTCCACACTTCCAAGCATGACGTCTCTCTCCAAGGACTGGTCCCTTCTTGTAACATGTCCAAAGTATATCAGATGAAGCTTCAGAATCCTTACCTCCAAGGAGCAGCCTGGTTTTACCCTCTCCAGGACAAACCCGTTTGTTCTCCTAGCAGTCCATGGCGTATTCAATAATCTTCACCAGCACCACAGTTCAAAGGCATCATTTCTTCTTCTATCATCCCTAGTCTTTTCCAGCTCCCTGAAGCATAGCAAGTAATTGCAAAGACCATGGCCTGTATCAAGCGCACCTTAGTCTCAGACTGACATCATTGCTCCTCAGTACTCTGGAGTCTCCTCCCATCGCCTTCCTACTTTTTTTAAAATTAATACTTTAACAAAAGTTTTCAGAAAATTTGGATTTCCATTCATGCATTGTTAAACATTTTTCTCCCTACTCCCCACCCCAGTTCACCTTTCTCTTTAAAAAGATTGTTTTACTGTTATATCCTTCCTACTTAAAAAAAAAAATAGCATCAAAATTTCTGAGAATTTTGAACTATGTTTGTAGGGAGCTCTGGTAGTCCCCAGAGAGACAGCACTGCTTACCCAGTGGCCTCAGCTCTGGTGGTTCTAATCTATCAGCAGATTCTTGGGAGAAAGATGGACAGACTCCTGCCAGGTGATTTACAGCCTCTGAACCCTCATGCTGGGTCAGCTATGCATTGGTTCTAGTTCCAAGGCAATGATTTTGACATTGACTTCCTTGTGGAATAACTAGTCTAAGTGGGCATTTATTCTTTACCTTTCAGGTGTTTGTAGCCAGCCCTCACAAAACGCAGCCGATTGTGGAGATCCTACTGAAAAACCAGCCCAAGCTCATCGAGTTCCTGAGCACCTTCCAGAAGGAAAGGACGGACGACGAGCAGTTCTCCGATGAGAAGAACTACTTGATCAAGCAGATTCGGGACTTGAAGAAACCGGCCCCCTAAAGCCCTGACCGCCCGCACAGCCCTCCCGTCACAGTTCAGTGTGGTCAGTGAGTGTCGTTCCCGCAGGCGGGCGTTCCTGGAAGATTCGGGAGGTGCCTGCTTTCCCGTCGGTTTGTCGTTGAGAATAGTTGGACTCTATAAGTGTTTGAATGAAAGAAAAAATCTAACCTGGGATAAATGTATCTACTTTAATCAGCCAGTGGTTGATCATGAAGCACCCTTGGCCATTTGTTGACAGGCGGTGGTAGGTCTGTGCACGTGTAGGCCGAGTCACCAAGGGGGAGCTCGGTGGTGGCCACCGCCGGGTCCTTGGAGATCTGGGTCAGAAAGAGGGGAGCAAGATCGTCCTCCTTCTCTGCACTTAGATTTCGTAATGAATGTACCAGAAGGTCCACGAAAGCAGGTTCGTGTTTTCTGTCTTACGTACTCTCTTCTTCTTGCTAAAACAAGTGGTTCTGACTTCCCCGGCTCATGCCCACTCTCTGCCCCACCTGCCACCATCCTGCATTCCAGGCCCTCAAGGCCTTGTGCTGCCCTCTGATGAGATGGGACCAGCTTAGCAAAATCCGGGTACAATGTCAGTTAAAGAAGTGGGCACACGTGGTTAAGACCCAGAGCTATGGCTGCCATTGCTGCTGTTTTCCTCTGGCCCCTCTGGGGTCCTGAGTGGGTGGACATTCCCTGCATACGTGTTCTATAATGCAGCATGCTACAGAGCAGGCGTCCTTGCACTGGGCTGTCTGGCTACTATGGACTGGAGCCCAGGGGCGCTGTTACAGGGTGGCCAACCCTTCCCCATGAGGGAACCTGCCCTGGGAAGGGAAATTATCAACGATCTCAAATGGCTAAAAACCATTCCTTCTCCGTTTCTTTTTTGGTAAGCTGCGCCCTCTGACTGCACGCAGTAGTCTGCAGTGGAAAAGTCAAGACACACTCCAAATACTCATTTGCCTGTTAGAGTGATCAAGAGGTTAATATGAGTTTTTTCCTAAAGCCATGGAACCTAAAAGAAAAGGTTATTGTTTGTGTTCAGACTTAAGTGTATCAAACGGAACTTTAAAGCTTTATTTACAAAACATTGAAGGCATAATTGCTCGTCTGTATATTCTCATAACTGTTTCCTGACCACATGCTGTTCGCATTCCATAAGCACCCCAGACTGTGCACAATACTGGCCGGCCGTGTCCTCTGCTTCCTCCCACCAGCTCGTCCTCCATGCACAGAGGGAAAGAGAAGCATGCGTGTTCTCCCCTTTGCAGATTTTGCATCTGAAGAGTTCCCTGGCAGGTTCACCCCAGGCTTGCTTGGGGACCACGTGTGTTGCTTCTGTGTGCAATGTGGAGGCCTGGGTAGATGGTCAGGGCTGCTGGACCTCACAGGGCAGCAGCGCTGGCTGGAGCCTTTGTGGACTGTCCACAGGCAGCCCCTGATGGCTTTCATTCTCGAGTCTTCATATGTCAGATTGTGTCCATAGCATGCCCTTCCAATCCAGAAACAGCACATTGCCAGGGAATCAGAACTGACCCAAAGCTGCTCTCCACTAGATTTTCAAAAGCTATAAATCACACTAGAGATTGCCTCTCTGTCTCCCAGTGAGCAGCTGGTGGATTTGAACCACTAGCTTTGCATTGATAACACAGCTCCCTGTACCTTTAGCCACCAGCGTTCCCTTAAAATATCATTTGTCCAGCTTTGCTTATTTGATTAAAAGAGTTTCAAGTAAAAGAAATATGTTGGAGTAGCCATCAGGAATGTATTTGGTTGCTTAATACCGCTCTGCCACATGGTGGGCCGTATGTTTTCAATCGGAAAGCAAGGCATGTTTGTAATCCTTTCTGGATAAAGGAAGATGTTATTTCCTCTGGGCCTGAATTAGCTCTTGTCTAGAACCCTTCATGCTCACTCGGCCTTGTCCACCCTGGAGGCCGAGCAGCGGAAGGGTAGCTGGCTTGTGCTGCGGTACAACTCTGTCTACTCTTAACAAGAATGGGGAGTAGAAAGCTCACAGTCAAAGTAGATTTGCGCAAAGTTCACTGTAAATATTTGTGACAATTGAATTTTGAAAAGATTGTATTTAATAAACTATTTCCAAAGCACATGTTTAAATGCTGACTAAATAAAAAAAATTAAAAAAGAAAAAGGTACCACATACTCAGTGAGTTTTGTTCCTGGGTTGCTTGGACAGTGGTTTCCTGGGGCTATGTCTCTGTCACCCCTCCACAGGGAAGCGGAGGCTGCACCTCCCACACCAGCCCTACCCAGAGCTGCTCTCGCCGCCCTCTGACTATACGCAGCATCAGCTAGGTGTCATTCCCATTCTGTGTTGGAGGATACTGCCGGTCCCAGAGGTTTGCTTCTCCAAGCCTAGTGTGGGCTTCGCGTGGGATGCAGCCCCCGTGGTCGTCACCAGCCCCTGCTCTTCCCTCCCTCACTCTCAGAGAGTGGCCAGGACTGTGTGGCGGCGGTCTGTGTTCTGCTGTCTGGGGGCTCCTTTGGAGCTAAATGTTGAACCAGGCTGTCCACACCTAGCTAAATGGGCGCAAGCTCACTGCCTGCTCCATTCTGGCCACTTGTCACCATACCCTTCCACTGCCCTCTCCCCACCTCACAGCCTCCTAACTCCTTTTCCCTTGTATGTCTTGAGTAATATGTGTGACGTGAAGGGAAAGACAGGGACTCGGGATAGCCAGGCGTGGACTCAGATGCCAACCCTCAGCAGCTCGTTGATCCAGGGATCCCTGAGCTCCGTGTCCTGGAAATGAGGTGCCTGCCTGTCTGCACAGCTGTGTTGTTGCTGTGCCATCAGAACCAACTCATAGCGGATCCTCCAGTAAGTTTTCAGAGGCAGTAAATCACACGGGAAGGAGGATGCCCTTCTTCCAAGGAGCAGATGAGGAATTCAACCTGTGAGCCTTTAGGGCGGCAGCGCAATTCCTTACCACTAGATCATCAGAGTTGTGATGTTTTCGATGCCATCGAGTTGAATACAACTCATAGCCACCCTGTGAACAACTGACCTGAACCCTGTCCTGCCCTGGGCCAGCCTCACAGTCTCTGACACACTCAAGCCCATTGCCACAGTCACCATGTCAAATCACTAGGTCAAGGGGCTTCGCTCTTTCACTGCCCCTCCCCTTCCCCAGGCACGATGTCACTCTCCAAGGAATAACTCTCCTCACTTGAATATGCTTGAAATATGTGAGATGAAGCTTCATCATCTTTGCCTCCAAGGAGCACTGTGCTTGCACCTTCTCCAAGACGTACTTGTTTGTTCTCTTGGCAGCCCGTCTGTGGACATTGTCCAACACCACAGTTCAAGGGCATCAACTCTTCTGTCATCTTTATTCATTGTCCAAGCTCAGATGCATAACAAGTAACTGATAAGACCATGGGCCTGAATTCAGGCACTCCGTAGTCCTCAAACATCATTACTCCTCAATAATTTGAAGAGGTCCCTGACTACAGTCTTTTCCACCGCAGTGCACCTTCAGATCTGACTGCTGGTACCAAATGTATTGTTTGTGATCTGTTCTGAGCTGAGGCTCCATAGGTATCCATGGAGACCAGGAAGTTTAAGGAACAGGAATCCCCAGCCTGACACTCACTGCCTGGTCAGAACGATGAGAATGCTCAGTGCGGTGGGGACAGGCTGACAGGGTTGGAAAGAGGACAGGCAGCCCCCGGGGCCCAGTTCAGCGGCGTCATGAGGGTTGTTAGGCAGCCTTGGTGATGAGTTACCACGACCCCGTATACAACAGAGGCAGGTGCTGCCTGTCCGTCCTCGCAATCACTGTGTCTGAGCTCACTGTAGCCACTCAGTGGTGAGGGTCTTCTTCTTCACAGACCCTCAGATGTCATGTTCTCCACAGACTGGTCCCTCCTAGTCACATGTGCAAAGTACATGAAGAAAGTTACCATTCTTGCTTCCAAGTCAGGTTTGTTCATCCTTCCAGTGGCTGTTTACCATTGAATCAGAACTAACCCGTAGCTGAGCCTCCAAGTTTGCAGAGGTAGTGAAGCGCCTGGGAGGAGAGTGTCCATCCTTTCCCCACGGAGCAGCTGGTGGATTTGAACCACGTGCCTTTGGGATAGCAGCACAAGTTCTTACTCCTAGGCCTCCAGAGCGCCCTATTTTTCTGGTAGTCCATGGTATATTTAATATTAGTCCCAATACCATAATTTAAAGGCATAAATTCTTCCTTGATCTTCTAGTTCATTATCCAGTCTTCACGTGCCTATTGAAGGGACCATGGCTTAACTCCGGCACACCTTAGTTTTAAAAGGATATCCTTGCTTTTTGACACTTTCTGAAAGTCCTTGACAGCCGATTTCCTCAATACAACACGTCTTTTAACTTCTAGACTGCTATTACCATGGGTGTTGATTGTGTATCCAAGTAAAATTAGAACGTTGACAACTACAATCTTTTCCATCAAGATTTTGCCTGTTGGTCCAGTGATAAGGATTTTTGCCTTCTTGGTGATGATATATGTATGATCCATATTGAAGGCTGTAGTCTTTGATCTTAAAATCTCGACTTTCAGCAAGCACACTTTCCTCATCTACATATTGCAGGTTGGTGATGAGTCCTCATCCTGATGCCACATTCTTCTTGATACAGTCTGGCTTCTTGGAATATTTTTCAGCATAGAGACAGAGTCGGTATGGAGAAAGGATACAAGCCTAGCATACAGCTTTCCTGATTTTAAGCCAGGTGGTACCTCCCTGTTCTTACAATGACCTCCTCTTGGTCTATGTACAGTTCTACATGAACACAATGAAGATTCTGTAATTCCTGTTCTTTGCAGTGGGATCTGTAATCTGTTATGACCATTACAATGGATTTGCCATTTCATAGCCAAACTCAGTTTCCCATCTTTGTGGTGCCCTTTGCTTTGAACCAGGAGCCATCTGACGTCAGCATTGCTGACCCTTGTTGCAGATCTTCTGATCACACAAGCCGCTACAGTTTGACAGACTGACAGGTGAGAGGCAATCCG